CGACATCATCGCCTTATTGACAACGTCACTTCACTTGCTGTTACAGTACCAGATCAGGGTTCTTCAGACGCTATATCATCCGTGCGCACTACCACCGACATTGGCGAGTATCATCAAATACTCCGGGAGTTTCCGGACATAACTCGACCTTCAGGTATGCCGATTACTCCTAAGCATAACATAGTGCACCATATTCGCACCACTCCTGGCCCACCGGTATCCAGTCGACCACGTCGCTTAGACCCAGAACGTCTTAAAGTGGCGAAGCAAGAGTTCGACGAAATGCTGCAGAATGGCACAGCGCGCACCTCAAAAAGCGCTTGGTCGTCGCCACTTCATCTGGTTCGCAAGAAAAGCGATGGTTGGCGTCCATGTGGGGATTATAGATTGCTTAACGCACGAACAATCCCTGACAGATACCCCGTAAGGCACATACAGGACTTCGCGCATCATTTAACAGGTAGCACCATTTATTCAACAATTGATTTAACGAAGGCCTACAATCAAATACCTGTCTATGAAGAGGACATACCCAAAAACTGCAATCACAACACCTTTCGGCCTATACGAATTTCCGTTCATGAGTTATGGCTTGAGAAACGCGTCGCAAACATTCCAACGCTTCATGGACGAAGTTCTTCGTGGACTAGATTTTTGCTACGGATACATCGACGACATATTAGTATTCAGCAGTGACAGTACTCAGCACCAAATGCATCTCAGAACACTGTTCAAAAGACTATCAGAATATGGTGTTCTGATAAATACCAACAAATGCGTATTTGAAAAACCTGAAGTGAATTTTTTAGGTTACAAAATTTCAGCAGCAGGTATTCAACCTACCACTTCTAAAGTTCAAGCCATACAGGATTTCCCTGAACCCAAGACCATTAAAGAGTTAAGACGTTTCTTAGGAATGATGAATTTTTATCGACGCTTCATTCCATCCGCAGCTGCAACACAAGCACCACTCAACGCTCTTTTAGCTGGTCCAAAGACCAAAGGTTCACAGCAGATCCAGATGACTTCAGAACTACATGATGCATTTCAAAAGTGCAAACAAGATCTGTCAAATGCAACCATGTTGGCATATCCAGATTCACGGGCAGAGCTATCTATTATGACTGACGCATCGGACTCAGCAATAGGGGCAGTTTTACAACAGAGAAGAGGTAAACTGTGGCAACCCCTAGCTTTCTTCTCCAGGAAGCTAAGTCCATCACAGAAGAAGTACAGCCCATATGATAGAGAATTACTTGCCATTTACAACGCAATCCATTATTTCAGGCACATGGTGGAAGCGCGAACATTCTCTGTCATGACAGACCACAAACCGTTGTCTTTCGCTTTTACGAAAATCGTGAAAATTGTTCCCCTCGTCAGTTTAGGTATCTGGACTATATAAGTCAATTTACCACTGACATCAGGTACATAGCAGGGAAGGACAACGCAGTAGCACATACCTTGTCTAGAATTAATGAAATACATTTGCCCATAGATTACCAGTCCTTGGCCAATGACCAGAAAACAGACGCTGAACTTCAAAACCTGCTGAAGAATGGATCCAGTCTCATACTGCAGAAAGTAAGGCTACCAGAAACGCGTTGTGAGGTATACTGCGATGTCTCGGTAAGCCCTCGTCCGTTTATTACCAAAGCCTTCCGCAAGCAAGTATTCGACACACTGCATGGCCTGAGTCATCCGGGAGGAAAAGCTAGTGTTCGCTTGTTAACGCAGAGCTATGTTTGGCCTGGAATAAGAAAAGACTGTCGACAATGGGCAAAAGAATGTCAACAATGCCAGAGAAGTAAAATTACCAGGCATACATCTGCTCCACTCAAGGCGTTTCAAACACCATCAGGTCGTTTTCGCCACATACACCTTGATATCATTGGTCCCTTACCTTTGTCTTCAGGAAACGGGTACTGCCTCACGGTCGTCGACCGCGTCACGCGTTGGCCTCAGGCGTTCCCTCTACCAGACATCACTGCAGAGACCTGCGCAACCGCCCTCACTACTGGGTGGATATCTCGCTTTGGATGCCCAGAGCACATAACCACCGATCGTGGGAGACAGTTCGAGTCGCACACATTTAAGGAGCTCGCGGCGCTGGTTGGCGCAAATCATCATGTCACCACAGCATATCATCCTGCAGCAAACGGCCTAGTTGAACGGCTGCATCGCCAGCTGAAGGCCTCCATCACCTGCCATTCAAACTCAAATTGGACTGAAGTCTTACCATGGGTCCTATTAGGAATCCGCAGTGCATGGAAAGATGACATCGAGGCATCAGCTGCAGAAGTAGTCTATGGTGAGCCGCTCCGTCTTCCTGGACAGTTCCTAACCACCACTTCAGACGATGCAGTAGATGTAACCAGCCTAGTAAGTAGACTCCGCGCACAATTGTCAAAACTAACACCCCAACCAACATCCTGGCACACCAGTACCAGCAGAATTTTTTATGTACCAAAAGAGCTGCACACGGCAACCCACGTCTTCCTACGCCTAGGTCCAATGCGTAAATCTCTACAAGCACCTTACCTAGGCCCCTACAAGGTTCTATGTCGCAACGAGAAGACCTTCGATATCGATGTGCAAGGGAAGATGCAACGAGTCAGTATTGATCGCTTTAAACCAGCCTTTATCACAAGGGAAGATGCAGTTGTCAAACAGGATCACCAGGCCGCCCAACATCGAAACACGATCATCAAGAAGACTAGAAGTGGACGAGTAGTCCAATTTCCTGATTACTACCGCCCGTAGTAACGGTCTCGGTGGGGGAATAATGTAGCATGCTAGTCAACTCGACCGTTACAACGATCCTTCTTTTTACGACGGAGTGCTGTCGACGTCCGCGGCGAAGCTACTATTGGCTATCGAATTTCACGACGTAGTTACTGTTGCACGAATCAACATTTTTTAACGCACAGTAGCTCCACCCACTCGGTGATGCGACAGTATGGCGGCTGGTGCATCTATTCTATTAGCTAATTATCGCAAGATGGCCGAGCACGAGCCTTTTGTTTTTAGTTAAGCGGCCATCATAATTTAGCCCCCACTGCGCTCACGCATTCTCAAGTGGGAGTCAAAATTGCAATTAACTAGCTGCTCCCCGCGACTACGTCTGCGTAGAATAAGCTGAAGGTGTAACATTAAGACTAGGAGATAGACTGCATTGAAATTGTATATAAATTATAGCCTATGTCTTGTTCTGATGTGTAAGCTATATTATTGTAAAATTTATTAAAATCCGTTCAATAATATTTGCGTGAACATCCATCCATACGTACAAACTTTCGCCTTTATGATGTTAGTAAGGATTACCCTTTTTAGTATAAATAGCTCGCATCATTTATAATGTACACACAGTCATACTCATACTCATACTTATACTCATACTCGTACTCTCTCTCTTTACCTGTGTTTGACTAGTCAATGTATTGTGATTATCTTCCGCTAAATTAAATCAGTTTACTTTATAGTCCGAGTGTTATTTATTGGAAAACATAGTCCAAGTAATAGTCCTCGATTAGTCCAACTTAGTAAGTGGAACAGGACAACCTGAATATACACCGCATCCACTTCACTGCAATATGAATTTTTTTCAATGATTTTACAGGTATCCCCAGTATGTCCCTGACCACAGCGATAACATCTCGGTTTTGATCTACATTGTGAACCAATGTGTCCAAACCGACAACAGTTTCTACATTGTATAGTAGGTAATTGATAGGTTGAAACAGGTAGAGATGAATGATAGCAAAAGACTCTATCAGGAAGTAATTGACCAGTAATAGTAAGTACTACAGAGGTAGATGGGACCCAAGTAACCTTGTCATCTGTTCGTAGTTTAGTGTTAAGACGACGAGCCTTAATAACCTCACCACAATTGGAGGGTGTTTTTATGTTCTCTACCAACTCTTCTAACGTCCAATCAGTAGGAATATTTTTAACCACTCCCATCCTGGTAATGTGAAATCTAGGAACAATTGCTGTAAAGTTATTTACTTGTAAGAAATCATTTGATAAAAAGTTGTTAGCGTCTGAATACGATTTAAACTCTATTTCTCTGTTTCTCCCCAGTGATTTAATGCCTCCTTCTACAATTCCCGACACATTGGATTTATGTAGAAGTTGGGCAAATTTGAGTAAACGAATTGACTGACCAGAAGACATGTCAGGAGAGGATCTAGTGACATGGACTATGAAAGGAGACTTATCAGAATTAGTGTATTCAAGTTTTGAATCAATTTCGTAACCCTTTTTAGAATTCGTGGACTGATAAGAAACGGAGGGTGGAGTAGTTTTTTTTAATGTTGATAGTTTCATTATTTTCAGCCGGGCGTTTTCGGTTCATGTGACTTTCAGGTTTTAAGCTAGTAGGAGTAGGGGTTTGGAAGATAAAATTAGAATCATGCTGTTCCATCATAATATCGGGAGGGCGTCCACCACCCCCATCCGGGGGTTTATCCTCATCCATTTCTCTTACTTAAAAGGGAAATGGCTCGTAAAGATAAAAATACTCACCAATCCCACAAAAACCACCACCAAACACTTACAAAACAAACAAGTTTAGGTATTCAAAAGTAATGAATATAAAATAAAATCGCAAAACCACTCAACAACGTGTTTACATCAACACTTTGACAAGCAGAATCCCTGGAAAAGTCAAAGTCAAATATAAATTTCTTTCGTCATGACAGTTTCAAAATCAAATTCAAGATGTGTATCCATGGTAGGGCCATGCAACAGTTCCAGCAGATATCCATCAAGTGTCATATTATTAAAATAATAAGCAATTGTGCTAAAAAATGAGTTACAAGAAATTATTAGAAGGATTACAATAAAATTATCTTTAAAAAGAATGTCTTTAGATGTTTATGCCATATGAGAAAAAATATTATTGTTCCATATATAGTTTTATCTATTCATATTTAGGCTTCATTACCTTTGGTTGATTTTTTTTCACTTTAATTTAATAAAGCAATTGATATACAAACCTAAGATAGCAGAAGTCCAGTTATATACAAGCATGGGGCCGTGACTGTTCCGTTTGAGCTCCTCCTCGGTCAAACGTTGATAACAAGGTGCCATCGCTGACAGGAGATTTGCCTACCAAACAAGAAAACCATACTTTTGGCTAGTGTTTACTCAAGGAAATAGCTAGCACAAAAGGTTCATAACATTATCACAATCAAGCATATTCCATAGTCTGTCCCTCTGATTTTGTTTAGAAACATAATTTTAGCTTTCTATAGGTCAATGTCAAATCTGTTATGAACATGTGGTGATTAATGTTACTAAATCCTCTAGAATAATCTAGAAGTATCGTCTAGTATACTATCTCACCTCGTCTATGAATGGTATGAGCACTACAGCTTCCCAGTCGTTACGTTTCCCGTTGAGATCGGTCTCAAAGTGTACTGGATAGTAGTGCACAATGGGCGAGTCTTCATCCGTCATCAGATCGTGGAACGGGGTAGGCAGTAGCTGCTTGCTGGCGGCAGGCAGCACGGCCAGAAGCTGAAATAAACATCGTGACGAAGTTATTACACACATTTATTAATTCACGTAATTAGAAAAGCGATGGCCGTAACTGGTTTTACAATCAACCAAAGCCACTGTATATACAGGGAGATTTTTTGAGAAGTGCCCAAATTTACACAGGAGGTTCATACTCGGTAGTATAATCGTTTATTGAAATAAAAAACAGTTTTTTTTCCAAAAAAATGCCATTCGATTCCCTAAAAAACAGAACGTGTTGAAAATGCAGTAGCCATTCATAAATACCCTAAATTTTACTGTGCACGAACTTGTGTGCGTGTTAGTTATGAATGATCGCGCGTAAAATAAACGAGTTGCGTATAAATCACGCACTTTTTGAGATAAGTTCAAATGAATATATTAATTACTTAAGAGTGATTTTAATTATTTATTTTTTATATAACATTATTTATGTCTAGAATTTAATAAAAAAAATGGATACACTTAGATAAGCCACCCTGTATTCAATCAAATGAATCATCATTTTTATAAGATAAAAGTCTCTATTTTGAATCCCAGTAGGGGAGCAGTAATAACTTCTTTTGCTTTTAAGTTTTACTTAAGAGAAATCACTACAAAATTTCACAATTTTATGATTAAGATGATGCTATGGCACAATGTAAATGGCTAATATAAGGGTTCATACTTGAGTATGATATCACCTGTTCAAACGGTTTGAAGGGCTCGCCGAGCTCGAACTCGATCTTCAGGTCCTTGAAGCCTTTGATATCGGAGATGTACGGCGCGTAGTGGTGGGGGTAGTACCAGCACCAAGAGGGGCATCCCTTGTAGTAGTACCACAGGTTCCACTGAATGGCTCGGACGTAGCCCTCTGCCTGGTCCGCTAACACCTCGCTAAGAATCGAAAATGGTATGTCACTCTATGGTCTTCATGGCCCAATTATAAAATAATATAATAAAGTGTTGCAGTTGTCCACCGACCATTAAAATCAGTTCAGTGCTGCTGCTTGCATCTGGTGAGTGAGGTATCAGAGCCCATTATTTTTTGAAGCAACACATCTTTACATGTATTGAAGATATTCATGGGAGGCGGTAATCACTTTAACTAAAGTCAACCACTTGCTCATTTGCCACTCACATAAAAATATTATAATACCTACCCGAGTCAACACTTTCCAAATCATAAAAATAACTGTAAGGGAGGGGGAGAGCCATATATCTAACTGTTTACAATATAAGACGATAGATATAGATAAATAGCTAAATATCATTAGACATCCCTAGGGAGAGAAGAATATCGAAAATGATAATAAAAATCATAAATTATTTACTTACTCTGTCACTTTGGAGTAGTCCAATTTGTTCATGTAGTAATCTTTTTTATGTAAAATAAACTCCATTTCTATATTGGCTTCCTCTGTGAAAAAAAAAATGTTTTATGTAAATATTATAACAGCCAGAAAAAGCTCAGCATTACAAATTAACCAGAGATAAAGGTCAACATACTCAGGTTTGAATATATCAATGTACAAGTGAATTAACAATGGAAAAGTTATTTAACACATAAATAACAATGTTCAACAAATGACCATCTTTCAGAGATATCTAAATTTGATACATTTTAATTACCAAAGTATGTTCTATTCAGAAATACTTCATTGCGCCTGTGCACAGATAAATTATAATTTATGTAGTAACAATAAGTGTTAATATTTTATAGTTTCGCCTAAGCCGCGCCATGCTGCATCATTTAATTATAGTCTATACATGTATATGTAGATCGCAATTATTTACTGTTACAATAGCTTTTAGCCAGCAAGCCAGCTAATTTAGTGATCAATAAAAGGCTTACAATCAGATACAAAAATGGGAACTATACAAATATTTTCTTCCTTTTTAAATTTTTACAGTGAACGAAGATGTAGGCGTCAATGCTTCTAAATATTATCTACTAGATTTGACAGACCTTGAATTTCTCACAATGTATGTCATGAGAATAAGACAGAAATTTTCACTGACAACATAAGGTATCGAAAAATTTAGGTACACAGTTGAGTTAGAATTTAATTACATGTCAGATCCCAAATGATATTCAGTGGGTTTTGGTCTTCGACCTACAATCGCCTTGCAATGTCAGATGAATTTAAAGAAAGTCTAAAATAATAATCATTATATAAAAATCATATAATTAAAATCATAAATCTAAATACATTTATAATGGGAATTTAAATTGAAACTTGCCATCACTGGTTTCTTCATATTCCTCATCATTATCGTCCAAGTCGTCGATGTACTGAGGACAAGAGTAATTAAATTCAAACATGTGACAAGACATTTTTCAGAAAGAATTAATATACTAGCCGTTGTCAATTTTAATACTCTTTTAAATTTTCTTATATTTATGACTGACACACCAGTCCTTTATGGTAGGTGCAGTAGTATTCCAATACTAACATGCTAGAAATCCAGGACAAAAGCAAGTCTGATTACTTTATATGACCGTGGATAAAACATACACACCAACCGTTTTACCATTATATATGCCCATTTATATATATTATAATTATATTTACATCTACAGGGCAAGTATATCATCACAATACAAAACAATAATATTACGTTTTTGATCACATTTCATTACCATTTCCTCTGTGGCGTTAATAAGCGCCTGCAGTTCATCATCAGGCCTGATTCCCTTGATGTCTTCTACATTCACATTAAATGTCTCATCATTGTTAGGTTTGTACTGAAAAAAAAAAATGGAATGTATATTTTTTGCATTTGCATTTTACACAAATATTACAAAATAATACAATCCAGACCTCTTTGCGTTCCATTGCGTTAGGCCTTCTTCCTGTTTTGGCTTCGAAATATTTCAAGTCTGTATAGGTATCTTGAAACTTCTCTTTATCTATTTTAGACAGCTCCTGCATAAATGTCTCGAACCGAATCAGGTTCAGATCTCCTGCTTCATTAATATAACCTATAATTTGTAATAAATAAAAAAATCTAAACTATGATAAAAGTTATATAAATTATAATCGTCAAACAATTATGATGATAATTTAAAAAATATTGTATAACAATGCAAGACTAGAGTGAATTGATTTATAATCTCACCGTCTAATGTTGGTAACACAGTCATATATGTTTTATATAGAAGTGGTAAAGCATCATTGCTTATATGCATATTGGGTAAATTGGGTATAAAGTCATTTCCCACTAAAAACCCCATCAACACCCAATCATCTACTATTTTCTCTATATCATACTCAAACGGCAATTTCTCTTTAATCTCTATAAATTCTTGGGTTAAATATTCCCGAAGTAGAGATAAATGAAGTAGGTAAAAGTTGGTTTCTTCTGGGCTGGTTGCACGTTGTGTTGTTTTGCCGAATTTAACCTAAAATCCAAAAAAATATTATATCACTTAGGACTAACACCACAAAACGAAGAGATTTGTGCCCGTTGCATGAAAAGAAGTTTGAAAGTCACATTTGAGACTAAATAGTCTCTCCGATAAGTTTGGAGGTCCTAGCCATCTCGCTCTAACCTGTAAGGGTTAAGCTACACTTACCTCTTCTCTCAAAAGTGCAAAATGCGGCTCATGTGTGCACATGCCTAACATTATGAGATCAGCGTCCAAGCCATATAAGCAATGTCTTGTATTAGGATCATAGTCCGGTTGCGAACGCGCCCAACGAATGTAGTCCATTATCTTATGCTCTCCTTCTCCAGGAGTCTAAAGAAATAAAATAATTAATTGTGTAGCTTGCTAGGACAAAATATAACAGCAAGAAAAGTTCTTGTCCAAGTTCAAAAATATTACACAGCCGAAAAAAAAAAATTAAGAACAAATTAAAGTAGGAAAATTAAATATCGAAAAAAGATATGTGTAGAACAATCTCATATGTTAAAGTAAAATCTAAACACACACAATACAACTTTTTGATTACAATAAAAACTTTTCTTTCAAGGTCATCCCATAACCATATCAAGGAAAGATCAGTTCATCTTCTACATAACCATTGTTCGCTTAAACTTTTACCCAAAAGAACCGTATTATACTAAGCTCCCTTTTTAAGATTCCTTCAAATAGCATCAGATATCCAGTACAATATCCCAAAAGCAATCTCAGACCACCACATATGACGATTTTTTTTATTAATCCCTTCATCAAATACCAATTCTTCTTCCAAACAATTTTAACATCAATTTGTTGACAGGAGGAACTATTACAAAACTATCCTATTCCTGATTTTGATGGTTAAGAGCACAATTATTTGCACTACAAAAGTGATATTTCCAAAGAACCATACTTGTAACTAGTGGTTTTCGCAAACAACACAGCTCTATTCTGGAAGGACTAACTTGAGTATCACCATCTGTCTCCAAAATGCAGGGAGAATCTAATTTAGTCCCAAAAGTAATGAAGCCATTCACTTTACCCAGGGTACAGTAGATTGTATCTCACTCGCCCCCCAAGGGCCAGACAACCCAGAAACTAAGGGCAAATTCACCCTTATCCTGTCTTTTGTGGACATATTCTATGCTGAAATGTCATTACGTATCCTTATACAAATCATCAGTAATAATTAATAAAGCTATATTATATAGCGAGTTTGAAATATATTTGTATATAGATTTCAAACTTGATGAATCATAAATGCATTACAAAAAGGGACAAACAGTTAAATATACAGGATCGGGCTAGTGAGAGAATGAGATACATTACACATTACAGTATTATATATTTTTGTTCTTATTATTTATGTTTTAGAGTAGTCCAACATCCAGGATGGCAATTTAGATGATTTTAAATTATTCATTACTAACCTCATGTCCTGACAAAATGACTTTAACTTTTGCCCATAGTGGATCCGTGGACATCTTCTGTTTAACAAAGTATCTTAATTGCTCATGCAAACGCGCCATAAACACCGTTCCAGGTGTAATACAATTACTATCAAAGCGCTTCTCCGCCGGTAGAATTTCACCTAAAAAATGAAGAAAAAAAACAATGCTTGATATGAGATCTTAATTATGTAGCCTAAAGTTTATTTTTCTACTAGGCTTACAATGCCTCAAATCAAATATTCTCTAATAATTATTACTGTCAGCTGTTTTTCATTTATAGTTATGAATTCATTTGAAAATCTTTTAAGTCATCACAGCATTAAATCTTCTCATATTAATCATATACAATGTCACTTTCCTTAGAAAATTGTATTGGAAAATAGCTTTATTTATACACTAGCGACCCGCCCTAGCTTAGCACGGGTGTAACATATTGTACATATAAACCTTCCTCTTGAATCACTCTATCTAGTAAAAAAAAAAAAACTGCATCAAGATCCGTTGCATAGTTTTAAAAAACTAAACATACATAGGGACAGACAGACCGCGGGACAACTTTGTTTTATACTATGTAGTGATAGTCGTCTTAAGTAGGTAACTAAACTTACCTTTCTCTTTTGCCTGTTCTTCCAATTTTTCTGCTTCTCTTGCAGCTCTGAATCTAATGATTAAATTGTAAGTATTCATTAAAATAAATTATAAAGTATTATTCAACTATAATGTATATGACCAGTTTCAAAAATATGATCCTTTGGGCAGCAATTATGAATATTTAAATCTATTTTATATATTCTGTATAAGTATTATGAAATGTAGACACTCATGGTAAAAATAGTAGTTTTAATGGTACTGTGTTGAAATGTAATTCTCAAGTATGGAATGTGTATGTCATTTCATTACCAAGTTTTTGAATCACCATTAGTTGTGTATATTGTACATGGTCTACATGATAATATTATTGGGTTACTTTTCTTGTTTACAAATGCAAAGTTTACCTTCTACCTCTTTGTTGATTCATCTTTGCTCTGGGAGCAACACCGTCAATAGCCATGAAAAACAATTTCTTAGGCTTAATAATTTGAAATAACATACTAAGGTAATGGAAAATATCTTGAAATATTTTCTCTTCTGTAATACGGAAATGTGGATTTGAATCATCAGGATGCGAACAATTATGTATAATACCATTCATATCAAGATACATATTGTCAAAATCAGGTATCTGTAAAAATGAAACATATTAAACAAAAAGTTTATCAAATAATGGTAAGAATTGGGGACTTCTGTAATAATATTTCCAAAATTTTTACAATAAATAAATTTCTTTACCAAATAAAATACTTAAATTAAGTCAAAAGATATTAACTACTTTGGTAAGAATATCGAATACGACAAAACATGTATAAACAAATACCTGATATTGTTTCACCAGTTCATTAAGGCAAGGATACCTTTCGCTGGTATACCTGAAGAACTTTGGAACTCCCATTTTAATTGATTTTTAACCGATTGGGCAAACGTTGATTAAAACACTTATTTCAGACCTATAATTTAACATACAAAGCCCCTTGGTTTACGTCAACTGCATTTAAATAATTTGTACGTTAGTTTTTTTATAATTAGGGCAGTGCCAAAATTTTGAACAAATATAAAAAGAATCTTTTAGGAATTAAGCATAATCAGGCGGGATAGTCTTACTTATGGTTTATATCCAATATCCATATTCTGATATCTGTCTGAGTCTGTCTAATTGTCAACGTACATCGTACCATAGAAAACCATAGATAGAAAATATAGCTTTAATATCTTATCAGAGATCAATTTACACCACGGAATAGAGAAAACAAGTTTCTGTTTTCTCTATTCCGTGTTTTATAGTGTAGTAACAGAGATCATGGAGTGCATCTGCACTCCATAATCTCTAGGCTAAGCCTAATATTTTTTGCATGTAAGAAAATTTTTTGAAAATATACTTCTTTTGCCACGTTCGGAAAAAAAAAATAGTGTCATTGCGCCCCGTGCCTGCATCTAGACATTGTCAACCTGCTTCTTTCATCTTCAAAGAATTTCCATCGTCAACTCATGACTTCCTCGAAGATGACGCTATAAAAAGACCCTTGCAATCACTTTATACAGGCCCACACAGAATTTTTCATTGGGCTGACGATGGAAAATCCACGACTCTGGCAACAAAAGGCAGACAAGTGACATAATATATGTCTCTCATGCCGTGCTGGAACACGGAATACGAACACGTTCCGTATCGGAACGCCAAGCCTCTTTGTCATTTAAATAATCATGTAACTTATAATAAGCTTTTTTAAACAGTGTCTGCTTTACAATAAATTTGAACTTTTTGTCCGGTAGATTTATAATATCATCAGGAATTTTGTTGTAGTAGCGCACACAGAGCCCCACGAATGAAGTCCTAACCTTAGCTAGTCTACAGCGAGGAAGAACTAAATTATTCTTATTTCTTGTATTACGGTCATGAATATCAGAATATTTAATAAAGTCATGGATATTTTTCCTAACATACATAATATTTGCAAAAATATATTGACATGGAACCGTGAAAATCTGTATCCTCTTAAATATTTTTTTAAGCGAGTCCCTACAACGAAGTTGATAAATTGCTCTAACAGCTCTCTTCTGCAAAATGAAGATGGATTCAATATCAGCCGCTCGGCCCCGTAGCAGGATACCATAAGACATAATGCTATGAAAGTAGCTAAAATAAACTAATCTGGCTGTTGCTTCGTCAGTTAACTGTCGAATCTTTCTAACTGCATATGCAGCTGAGCTAAGCCTCCCTGACAGAGAAGATATATGGGGACCCCATTGTAGTTTTGCATCAATAGTTATCCCTAAAAATACTATACTGTCAACCAAATCAAGCCGTTCATTATTTAATATTCGATTCCCACAGCGGCGACAATCTTCTCGCACTTTTTCTACATATTTTAATGTTCAATCTTAAGTGCAAAGATTAGCACAATAAACAATTTAAATTTCTAAAAAAGCAATGGCGACATCTCTCGTTCGAATTATCGTTGTAAAACGATATTCGAAGTTGTTTGTATGCTGGAAAGGATATAACAATAGATGGCGCCAAGCATTGCTTCAAATGCTAAGAAAACAATGTGGAAGAATGCGTTAAGATTTTCGTCGGTGTGGTAATCAGCCGTTTAGCTCAGTGGCTAGAGCGTCAGGCCGCGAATGCCGAAGACGTGGGTTCGATTCCCACAGCGGCGACAATCTTCTCGCACTTTTTCTACATATTTTAATGTTCAATCTTAAGTGCAAAGATTAGCACAATAAACAATTTAAATTTCTAAAAAAGCAATGGCGACATCTCTCGTTCGAATTATCGTTGTAAAACGATATTCGAAGTTGTTTGTATGCTGGAAAGGATATAACAATAGATGGCGCCAAGCATTGCTTCAAATGCTAAGAAAACAATGTGGAAGAATGCGTTAAGATTTTCGTCGGTGTGGTAATCAGCCGTTTAGCTCAGTGGCTAGAGCGTCAGGCCGCGAATGCCGAAGACGTGGGTTCGATTCCCACAGCGGCGACAATCTTCTCGCACTTTTTCTACATATTTTAATGTTCAATCTTAAGTGCAAAGATTAGCACAATAAACAATTTAAATTTCTAAAAAAGCAATGGCGACATCTCTCGTTCGAATTATCGTTGTAAAACGATATTCGAAGTTGTTTGTATGCTGGAAAGGATATAACAATAGATGGCGCCAAGCATTGCTTCAAATGCTAAGAAAACAATGTGGAAGAATGCGTTAAGATTTTCGTCGGTGTGGTAATCAGCCGTTTAGCTCAGTGGCTAGAGCGTCAGGCCGCGAATGCCGAAGACGTGGGTTCGATTCCCACAGCGGCGACAATCTTCTCGCACTTTTTCTACATATTTTAATGTTCAATCTTAAGTGCAAAGATTAGCACAATAAACAATTTAAATTTCTAAAAAAGCAATGGCGACATCTCTCGTTCGAATTATCGTTGTAAAACGATATTCGAAGTTGTTTGTATGCTGGAAAGGATATAACAATAGATGGCGCCAAGCATTGCTTCAAATGCTAAGAAAACAATGTGGAAGAATGCGTTAAGATTTTCGTCGGTGTGGTAATCAGCCGTTTAGCTCAGTGGCTAGAGCGTCAGGCCGCGAATGCCGAAGACGTGGGTTCGATTCCCACAGCGGCGACAATCTTCTCGCACTTTTTCTACATATTTTAATGTTCAATCTTAAGTGCAAAGATTAGCACAATAAACAATTTAAATTTCTAAAAAAGCAATGGCGACATCTCTCGTTCGAATTATCGTTGTAAAACGATATTCGAAGTTGTTTGTATGCTGGAAAGGATATAACAATAGATGGCGCCAAGCATTGCTTCAAATGCTAAGAAAAAACAATGTGGAAGAATGCGTTAAGATTTTCGTCGGTGTGGTAATCAGCCGTTTAGCTCAGTGGCTAGAGCGTCAGGCCGCGAATGCCGAAGACGTGGGTTCGATTCCCACAGCGGCGACAATCTTCTCGCACTTTTTCTACATATTTTAATGTTCAATCTTAAGTGCAAAGATTAGCACAATAAACAATTTAAATTTCTAAAAAAGCAATGGCGACATCTCTCGTTCGAATTATCGTTGTAAAACGATATTCGAAGTTGTTTGTATGCTGGAAAGGATATAACAATAGATGGCGCCAAGCATTGCTTCAAATGCTAAGAAAACAATGTGGAAGAATGCGTTAAGATTTTCGTCGGTGTGGTAATCAGCCGTTTAGCTCAGTGGCTAGAGCGTCAGGCCGCGAATGCCGAAGACGTGGGTTCGATTCCCACAGCGGCGACAATCTTCTCGCACTTTTTCTACATATTTTAATGTTCAATCTTAAGTGCAAAGATTAGCACAATAAACAATTTAAATTTCTAAAAAAGCAATGGCGACATCTCTCGTTCGAATTATCGTTGTAAAAACGATATTCGAAGTTGTTTGTATGCTGGAAAGGATATAACAATAGATGGCGCCAAGCATTGCTTCAAATGCTAAGAAAACAATGTGGAAGAATGCGTTAAGATTTTCGTCGGTGTGGTAATCAGCCGTTTAGCTCAGTGGCTAGAGCGTCAGGCCGCGAATGCCGAAGACGTGGGTTCGATTCCCACAGCGGCGACAATCTTCTCGCACTTTTTCTACATATTTTAATGTTCAATCTTAAGTGCAAAGATTAGCACAATAAACAATTTAAATTTCTAAAAAAGCAATGGCGACATCTCTCGTTCGAATTATCGTTGTAAAACGATATTCGAAGTTGTTTGTATGCTGGAAAGGATATAACAATAGATGGCGCCAAGCATTGCTTCAAATGCTAAGAAAACAATGTGGAAGAATGCGTTAAGATTTTCGTCGGTGTGGTAATCAGCCGTTTAGCTCAGTGGCTAGAGCGTCAGGCCGCGAATGCCGAAGACGTGGGTTCGATTCCCACAGCGGCGACAATCTTCTCGCACTTTTTCTACATATTTTAATGTTCAATCTTAAGTGCAAAGATTAGCACAATAAACAATTTAAATTTCTAAAAAAGCAATGGCGACATCTCTCGTTCGAATTATCGTTGTAAAACGATATTCGAAGTTGTTTGTATGCTGGAAAGGATATAACAATAGATGGCGCCAAGCATTGCTTCAAATGCTAAGAAAACAATGTGGAAGAATGCGTTAAGATTTTCGTCGGTGTGGTAATCAGCCGTTTAGCTCAGTGGCTAGAGCGTCAGGCCGCGAATGCCGAAGACGTGGGTTCGATTCCCACAGCGGCGACAATCTTCTCGCACTTTTTCTACATATTTTAATTACTAATATGTGTTCTAATAATTCGAACTAAAATTAAAAGATTCGCAGCTTGATAATCTGTGGGTTGATGCGTTTTTCCTAAAGGCTGTTGACACTTGAAGAGGGGGTTTGGCAGACATCTTTACCTGATTTTATCGTTTTGCTGTTCTGGCTCACAGATTCTCATTGTAATAGAAGCAGATCCTGTGCCATCAGATAGCGTTACAGTAATTGGTCAATATATGCCATTTATACCCGGGAAGTTATTTTATTCACCAACTGTCACCTACATAAAAAACGAGATGAAGGAACCACGTAATGTTTTAACGACATATCTGGCCCCAAAAGTGTATAATTTTTAAGATGCGCGGGCACATCATCAGCCAAACAGCGACATGGTGAAGTTGGTTGCAAAGCGATCAACTTCACGATAATACCATGTCAAACAATAACAACTTTTTAATATTAACCTATAATTCCAAGTTATTTATTTAAAATACTTTTATATTAAAATATATTTATTTCGAATATTTACAACATTAAATATAACTAAATTACAAATAATCTAATAATTTAAGTCCACACGACATTATGCCAAGAACTCTAGCGGCATATCGTCGCTGAATATTATTATGCTTAACCTTTGAGAGAGAAAAGAACCAGCCCCCTTGTCACCAGCCGCGGCGTTAATCCTAGCACGTAAACCTTTAAAAAAATCGATGAACGGGGAACCAATGGATCTAAAGTTTAAACAGCGAATTAATGGCAAAAATACATAATCTGAACAAAGAAACCCGTATTTGCACCACTTACTTAAACTTCATTAAATCGCTATCAATTGCATTTCATATCTTTCACAAAAAAATTTTACTGACACAGGAATAAAAATTTTAGTTATTTTTCTTTTGTTAGGCTACTGAAGTATAATTTTTTACGTGCTGTACCAACACCCAAGATGTAAGCGATTATCACTGGATGTTAAGTGATTTCATTTGCAATACCTGAGGGCTTGCGGATGCGTTGATTAAAAAGTGGGCCCCGGTTGCCTCTCTCACTAGATGAAACGCTAAAGTATTTTCTTAAACTTCCATTTCACAGTTCACACTGATCTTCTGTAAGACCGTGGTACTTTCCCAGGCGAGGCAGCCCATTAGTGCAACAACACAACAGCCCATTAGTGCTACAACACAAGGTGATATGTGGCTCTACCACAGTTAGAAATTACTAATTACCGTAATCGATTGCGTTTGAGTTTGAGTTGGATCGTAAGAGATCTTCAAATCATCGGATTATATTTTGGATCATTACCTTACGAATAATAGTTTTAAACATCTGTGCATAATGTTTTTTAAATTTTTGATGTGACTTGTGTATGTGTATGTATGACATTGACAGATAAACGTGCCAAGCGAGTTTACGAGTTCAGTGGTGAATTATTGATAATTTTCCCTTTTTTTTATAAAATATTTATCATCTCAATTAATTGTTTATATTAAGTATTTGTATCTGGCGAAATTACACCAAGAATGGAAACTGATGAGTTAGGTAATGATTTGGTTCGGTTAGATAATGGATTTCTTGTTGACGAAGAGACCTACGTTGTGAACTCTGATGATGTTTTGGGTAATGGAGAATAAACTTTAATATTTTTGAGTAAAACATAATATTGAGTATAAGCAGATACGCTTACTAACAACAAAAAAATTGCTGAATATTCATAATTAAACTTTTTGAAATATACTTAATTATATTTACTTAAAACACCATTCTTATGTGCTGACTTTTGATTGTTATGTGCAGACAGGACATGATTCAGTGAGACGATGTCCTAATATTATATGCCACATATGACTATAATATTATTATTAGATATTGTTTGAATCTTATCCTTTAAACAAGCAATTCTTTGTACACATATATATATATATATATATATATATAGTCGGAATCTCAGAAACGGCTAGGTTTCATTTTTAGAAAATATAGTTTTATCCCAGTTTTCAGGGAATAAAAATATCATTTGAATACAACAGTAAATTTCACCGAAAAGAAAAATCTTATAATAGCTTGGTTGGTAATCGGGCGGCCCCGAAACAGAAGGCCGTGGTTCGTGTCACGATCATTTACACACTTATTTTTTTACTGTTTTTTGGATTTCAGATTAAGTTTTTGCCAATTTGTTATTTTATTCCTTTTTTTTTTAATTTATTTCTTTTGTGAAAAACGTCAGTTCATATTTTCTTATTATTACGTCAGTAAGATCGGAAAATATTATGCATATTTAATTACTCAGTAATTTGTATCTAAATATAATTTCCAAAATTAAACGATTTACCTTTTTTGTCTTTAAAAAGCTGGTAACTTGCTATAATTAGTATGCAGATTTCTACATAGTAATTTAATCTGTTGATTTTCTGGACGATGACAATGCTGATGTCATAAATCTCAAACTTAATAAACAATAATTGGCCTAAAGGTACTTGTAAAATCCAAAAAATAAACAATAATTATACTTATACTAATTATATTGTTATATATGTTATAATTTTATTGCAGTAAATCACAAATTTATTTTTTTATAAGTTCTTTGTGGTTGTTTTGTAAAATTAACTTAAATTGATTTTAAGTTCATAAAATAGGTGACAGTGACATATTTCCCTTGATATTGGTAATACGTGAGTTTGAGTATGTGCTCTTTTAATTAAACTATATTTACGGATTTATGGCATTTATTCTTAAATTTGATCTCCCAATATTTCAAACCCTAGCATTCATAGTCACAGGACTGGGGCTGCAGTGTTTGAATGTTAACCTGGGCTACCATCAGTTTTTAAATTATTAATTTTGTGTCAGATCTGCATTTACAATAATAAATCCCTAAATATGGTTTAAATTAATGATGTGTAATCGCGAAAATACAGAAAATTTTCATGTTTTCTTTTTTATGTGTGTTAAATTGTCATCATTATTTCAGAACAAGAAGAAAACAATTCAGATTCTAACTGTGGAGGCAAAAATGTACCTTTAAGAGAACAAGATAGGTTCTTGCCTATTGCAAACATTGCTAAAATTATGAAAAGGGCAATTCCTGAAAATGGAAAGGTAATTTTGTAGAAATTATATAGTGAACAAAATTAAACCTAGCACTTAATTGAACATTTTATGTTTAAAAATCGTCAGTAAAGTTATTTAAACAAAAAATGTATGACATGCTTCTTTACAGATAGCAAAAGATGCAAGGGAATGTGTACAAGAATGTATATCTGAGTTTATATCATTTATAACTAGTGAAGCTAGTGATCGTTGTCAAATGGAAAAGCGAAAAACAATTAATGGAGAAGATGTCTTGTTTGCAATGAATGCCTTAGGTTTTGATAATTATGTGGATCCCTTAAAAATTTACCTTAAGAAATATAGAGAGATTGTTCTTTCACCGGTAAGAGAATCCTAGTACGTATACTTTATCTAAGAGACTATCATCTTTTGAATTGACTTTATATTAAAATTAATGTTACAAGTAAAATTAATTTCGAGAATTTTTGCACAGGGAGACAGTGCACATTGTAATAATTAAAGTATAATTGACATTATTTACAGTTTTTTTATTTTCACAAACTCATTGATCAATTTGTCATTTATTTTATTTTTAATTTATTTTATTTCTTCATATGTGCAAGATACCCTGTTTCGAACATTGTAGATGTCATATGCATTTAATTCATCTTGATAAAGGTGGGTGGCTCTATCTACCCAGTAATCATTATTTATCCAGCAACTCCTTGTTTTTTTACTTTTACAGGTAACAATTAATAAGATGAGCAAAACCTATGTTCTATATGGAAGTAAGTTTGTCTTCATGATTTGAAATGATGTTATGAAAAAATTGATTTTGTTACTTTGATTTTTATAAATTAACCACATTTGAATCATTATGAAATTAATAAATTAGAATTATTTCTAATGTACAAAACAATAGTGTCAATTCTGGATATGAAAATGTGCTTTACATTTATTATTATTGATATACAGATAGGTGTCTTAATAGAATTTACAATCTTCAATCAGTAAATGTTAACTACCTAATGGTATACAGATGTCCATATGTTGTGGTAATTACTTACCATCAGGTGAAATGCGGGTTCATTTGCCATCCTCTTTTTAAAGAAAATAATGGGTTAAATTTTGGGTTTTCACAACTCAAAAATCCTATCATAATAATAATATAATTATTTTTTTAGGTGATGGAGCACCCTGTGTCCCAACGGAGAATGACAGTGAAACAACAAATGAGACAGTGATATATGCATACCCAAAAGTCATTGGCGATTTTTAATATCAATTAATGGGGCTTAAAATAATATATAGACAAATATTATACAAAATTTACATGTTTCCAGCAAGTTTTGCAGTAAAATTTAAGTTTGTCTACTTTGTACTTTTTGTTGTGTTGTAATTGTACATTTTAACATTCTTGGATATATTTTTTATTGGTAAGTTTTAGAATTACTTTTACATAATTGTGTAAGTAAAGTTACTGTAAGAAATGTGCTGGAAATAAGTAAATTTAAAGTAAACTCAACAAACAAGAGATATCAGATACAACAACAGATATCAGGCTATTAGAAATAAAACCATCATATCCTATTATTTCTCAGTGGAATTTTCTTGTGAGGAAACAATCATATCTCACTTAATTCCCCCCTTTATACCCTACATCTCGCCTAATTCTTTAACAAAGTTGATGATTCTATCATTTTAATATTGTCTCATACATGTTATCATAAAGGCTTTAGTTAATTCACAGCATGTTTTTGCCCTGGGTCTTGGTCCATATGCCATGTGTTGATAATATGTTCAAATAAAAGATAGTGAAATTTATTAATATGATATATAAAGTTCATTTACAATTACACTGATATACAGCGTGTTTTTACCACCACGACAATAAATGAACACACGTGTAACATTACTTGCCAATAATTATAAACAAATATTAACTTTAAAAAATCCATAATTAAAAAAATATATTTTTAAGTAAAAAAGAAACTAAATTTGTAACATCCTATACAACTACATCTGACTGATTTATACATTCAGAGACTTTTTCATTCATTCCCACAGCGCAACAGTAACAGTATGTTTTGTCTCTTTTAAATTCATTCAACCCATTCATATCCTTTGTGACCTTTACAAATGAACTTTACATGTAAGTTTTATATGTAAGGATGTTCTAAAATTCTTTGTTCTGGAAAATTTGATAACTCGTTAAATATTGATGTTTAAAGAATGTAAATCTTTAATACAATTTGTAATGACAAGTAAATAAATTGTCTAAAACAGTTTGATATATATGGTATACTCAGTAAGTCAGGACTATTAATAATAGTTGTTTTATTATTGATGCAGCACAAAAATAATTTTAAGCGGGAAGTAAAAACATTAGGTATTTACATAAATTTGCATTTATTGTATTACAAAGGTGCTTGGCTTTAAATTCTTTATAATTTAATAAATTACTTAAAAAAATGATTCACAACATATTTTAGAAAAATAATGCATCGTGAAATCTAAGGCGATAAAAAGAATTTTTCAGTAATATAATTGTATATTATATTTTCATTTCATCATCACTTGACCCACGACTCCTGGACATACGCTCATTTGCATTTCGAAAAATGCAAGTTATCAGTATCGCCTATTTTATATGAAATATACATTATTCATATTGTATTAATTGTATTATGGGACTTTTTTTTTACAATAAAAGTATACAATGTAATAAAGTTATGGTGTTCTATAAAATAAATGTAAATGGAGATCAAACTTATAATGGTTTTTGTATTATACTACTATTATTATGCTCATCGCGAATGAGTTTAGTACAATTTTCAAACTATTTTTACTATTCATTTTATAAAGCAGCTTCGGTCGTTGTTCGAATATACTTTCTCTTCCAGGAACGTAACACGGTTTCTCAAAAAGAGTGAGAAGAAGAAGTGAAGTGGAAGTATTAAACGTATTGTGAATATTAAACGCAAAAGCGTTTCGTATCTTGAGCGAGCTAGCCGAGGCAAATTTAAAAGAGCGCTCTTTTAAAGATTCCAGCGAATTTGTCAGATGATTTTCTCTCCATTGGCACTTAAAACGAGGTGAACCGCCTGCTCGCTTTCTCACATAAAAATAAATTAAATAACTAGATTAACAATAAGGCAATTTAATACAGACCTTACCATATGAAATTGATGAAATTTCAACAAACAAAACTACAGCTGAAATCGGTCGACCGTCACGAGTCAATTAGCAAAATGACATCGATCCGTCCGCTCGCGATTCACTCCCTGAACTTGTCCGTTACGTAGCCCGGCAGCGGCACCAGATAGAGGAACTTGTTGAAGACCATTATGCCGAGCGAGAAGGCGAACGAGACGCCTAGGTTGAATTCCGGGTTGAAATCGCCGGCCTGGTAGACGTCGCCGGCGAAGTTTTTGGGCGTGTAGCGCTCAGTGAGGAACGCCTTGCCGCTGGGGTAGCGGCAGTCTGAGTTTGAATTTGCGTTAAGGTTGGACGAGGTCTGTATCAGGCTGGTGATCGCGGTGCAGTTCTCCGTGACGCTGTACGGCATAATGTTGAAGGTGGGCTGCTTGAACACGCCCCTGTGCACGAAGATGGACGCGTAGCGCGTGTGCGTTATGTACGTCAGGTAGAAGAGCCACTCCTCGAGGCCCTTGTAAGACCTGGAAGAGGTTACGATTATAAGGCTATGGTTGACATGTAGCAAACACGGCGCTAGAAAAGTCCTTGGGGACCCACACGGTGATTATCAATTTTAGATTATATTGTCATGCATAATATTCTTTCCCCTTATTGCCTCTTATTGGATTAATGAGTTCAGTGCAAATGCAAACGATTTTGAGCAGGCTTTCCCATGAGTTAAACATGGAAAAGTTTATAATATGTAGCTCCAATGTAATTTAACTCCGCTTTTTTATCTTTTGGTTTGCTACTGATTTAAAACTAACTTCTTGACAGCTTGATGACTTGAAACTACTAGGCTTAGTATTTATTGATTACGCGAATACTATCCACGGTGAAACCAACAATTTAATGGATTTTATGGCATTTTTATTTTTGTTTTTAAATTCCCGACATTTCTTATTCTTTGTACCGCTTTCATGACCCGTGAGCATGAAGGACTGAATGGCCAGTCTGTCGTGTCAAAATAAAAACGGGATAGAAACCGTAAATAGTTTCATTTAAGGCAAAATGGCACGGGTCAAATATATCTATTTCTATGTGCATGTTCTTTAAGTATTGCCAACCTGAGAACTCCGCTGGCGAGCATGACGTAGACACATGTGATGTAGATGTTTACAATGGCGGCAATCAGACCGTTCTTCACGAACATCATGATGGCGATGGTCTGCTGTTCCGCGTATATGTAACACGACCACAGTATCAGAGCGAAGTAAATGTAGTCCAATCCCTCCGTAATATCGCCCAGGATCCTGCCGGGACAGAAGATTGGTTAGCATAAAATATTACGCCGCATTCAGAAACTGGTGCCGGGATTGGTAAATATGTATGAATAAACAAAACTGCATAAATGTAATGTACGTGTCCCCTTAAGGGCTATTAATTGCCTCTATTACAGGATAAACAACTCGTGTGTTGTAGACGCGTTTTACAAACATATTGAAGTGGGCACTTGTGCTTGACAAGTGCCCAAATCCGGAATAATGATCTTTTGGCCGTATAAATACTTGTCCGCTTTGGGAATCGAACGCATGACGTGAGGCGTTGAAGCCTGTATTGCTTATATAAGGGGATTGCCGGCTACGGCATGCGGACCGTGACGTCTGTTGAACCCTACTTCTGTGTGTAGTATTTTGGCGGGGCCGACGTTGGGTCCGAAATAATTTCGTTCGTAACGCTTGCGAACATTCGCGTTAGGGCCCGATTGATGATAAGCCGAGTGGAATAGCGAGTCAGTATTCTTTTTTAGAAATAAATCCGAAAAACGAAAGGCAATTCATAACCTGTTTCACAAATAAACAGGTTTTAATCCATTCTTCGTCAGTAAATTCTGCAGTTGTAAACGTATTTCCGACAATCAAATCGGAGAAGCAAAGAACGAAAAAAAAGTAGAAATTGCGGGGTAAGACTTGGTAGAAATCGTCAAATAAAAAGTGTTATGCCCCCTCCATCCGATCCTCTTCGACTTTCTGTATCTGTCTATTTCTAGAACACGTTAGTTATATACTTGAAATTGACCTGTGCACCACGCAGCGCTCTCTTTATTCACTTACAATTTATTTTTTTAATTCACTCTTACGTATAAATTATTCATTCATTGAACGAATATTTTTATAAAATGTTAAATGAAACTTTTTACTTGATTCCTTACGTTACATAATTTGAATTTGCAAAATTATAGGATGTAAAATATACACATTTAACACCGAATTACATTGAGGGTTGAGGGAGAATCCAGAGGAAAATTTTCTGGAAGTGGCACTCTATCTTCATTTTTTTTATTTCGCTTATCCTAATTTATCTTAATTAATATGATCTCCTTTATTCTTAGTTATTATTTATAAAATAATACTTACGGATAAATAATTGCCGCGGATAGGAACGTCGTGATAAACGAGAACGGTACGGAGACCAGATTCCAGGATAGCAGCAAACTGGCACCGCTGTAAAGACCCTCCTGAGACTCCTGATAATATCGTGTTCTGTATGGGCCATCTGTAGCGAGCGTTCTAGTCAGTACCTTTACAAAAGCTTCCGCGCTTCAACCAGATATACGCGAACGCAAAGTTTACTGTTCTAATGTAAATATTGTCATAAATATGTATTTGCCGGTGAAATCATATGGAAATTAAGAGAATTTACTTTTTTTAATTAAAAAAAAAATTATACTTACAAAGACATATTGTGTTCATAATACTGATAAAGTAGGTACCAGTTATAGCATTAAAAATCAGCCCACTTTTCGTTATGAAAGCTCTTTGGAAATCCTGCAACGGTTTAAATGAAGACGTATAAAAATGTCGTGTATTAAATTATATTATTGTAACAATTTCAAGGTACCTGAGCTTCGTTGTAGAATATCCATAAAATTAAGAAATATATTGGCAACGAAAGAAGCCTCATCGACATCTGTTTTAATCCATTCTTTTTCAGATTGAAAATTGAAACAAGAATTCTCCTGAAAATTGTGTCGATTTTTAGACGCGCTGTTTAAAACTGTGCGCTCATTTTGTTCATGCAGCATATCTAATTTGGTAAATTAATTTTTGATATAACTCAGAACATATTAGTAAAAGTTAATTTAAAAATGCATATTTGTTAAATGTGTCCAATATATATCATGAAGAGGATAAGTAGGTTACCAAATCGTGTTTTATAGAGGGACAGTTGAAGTCGTTTGAAAAGAACTAATCTTTATATATAGAAATTCGAATTTTTTGTGTTCACAAAACTCCAAAGGTAGCTGATGAATTGAGACTTGATATTTGGTAACAACATAGCTGTTGAGTGAGAGTTTGTTTTCATTTAATTTTCATTCCGAATTTCCAACGAAAACGAAATAAAAATCCATAGCGAAGCGTAAACCCAGTGTTCAGTCAGTATGTGTGGAGTACACTGCTTACAGGTATAGCATCCAGATAACTTTCATCCCTCCAGGCTTGCCGTAGTTCATTTGTATCTTATTGGGGTTTATGATTCGGCTGTGCTCTGTCATATTGCCCTGCATGATCCCCTGCCCCTCAAGTTTGAATTTCTCGACCAAAGCGGCGATCTGGTGGTTGGATTCGATGAAGCGCTCCCGAGATCTCCTGTCCACCGTTGATAGGCATACTAAAATCCAGGATTATTTGTTCGATACCGACTCATTAATTTATAGAATCAAATTCGAAAATCATTCGAATCGAATCAAAATCGAATTTAATTTATAGAATGCAAAATATTTACTTCTAACTAAAGCACTAAAGAAGCCGTGATAAAATACCCAAAAAAGGTAGCCGTGATAGCTCACTGTCCGGGCACTCGCTTTATTCAATATACTTGAGCAATGCGTGTTCAATCTCCGGTGCTGGCACCAATGAAATTGTGAATTTTAAATGCTGACTTATCACATGCTCATCAGTGAAGGAAAACATCGTAAGGAAACCTGCATATTTTCGAATCTCATTTGTGAAAATGTATATGCTGTGAACAAAGCACACAAGATTGCTAAAAACTGAATAAAAGAAAAGTAGAAAGGTGAAGGGGGAATCGACCACTGGCTTAGTTAGAGCGTCTAGGCGCGTTATTGGAAAAGCGCCGGTTCGAGTCCTGGCATTTTTCGACATTTCAACTAAGTAATTTACTAAGTGGTAAGGTCACGCGACAGTCATCGCTGCTGTACGAATAGGCAGGTCCGTCTGGAAATATCATGACCTCACAGAAGAGTGCGATGAAGTGGAATTGTTATACTTCTGCTTTTCGCCTAGTAAGTGAGGTAACCGGAGCCCACTTTATTGAAAGATGGCAGCGCATCTGCAACCCTACGGGTGATGGAAATCTCCATAGGCGGCGGTAATCACTTAACATCAGGCGAGCCGCCAGCTCGTTCGCCGCCTTCTCAAATGAAAAAAAAAAATAAAGATGTTAGTGTATGCTTACAATAGTACATCAAGGGGTTCTCTAACTGCGGGCACGGGAAGCCAATGCTGCCGAAGTACTCCAACAGGTTGCGGGTAGGTCCAGCGTAAACTACGTCACCCAAGCACAAGTATACGACTCGGTCGAGGAACGGGAATACGTCTGTAACGGGGCGCAGTCTTGGGATTTTCACACTAATGCCCGGTTTCTGAAACACTGATCATCGTAGATGTCAAATGATAACCTGTCAAATGGCTGTTTCAAATTTGATTTGAGTTGCCACCATGACATCTACGATCATCAGTGTTTCAGAAACCGGGCGTAAGACGTTTTAGCATAATTGATATAATAAAAACTGACAACTAGGCGTCAATTTCAAGTATACTTTATATATATTTATTCATTATTTTTACTATAAATGTACGCGTTTTTTTATTGCAGCTAAACGGTTAGTGCTATATCAGTCCTAACTATGACAACCAATATTGTACATATCTTAATGCATCATATGTTTGTCATAGTTATAATGTAACCTACATACATTAAAATTTTCCTGTTTTTCTTACGCTTTCCGTTGATATAATTATACCATCATATTTTCATCAACTTCTGGACATAAAAATAACTTACTTTTTTCATGAGAAATGATGAAAAAACAGTAATTGAACATTAAAATAATTTTTTGTAGGATAAATTGACTTTAATTTGTGCTAAATATAGGATATGGAAATAAAGGATTATGTCGTAGTTTATGAGTTTATTACACAAACGAATTTATTATACCGACATTTATATAAACTGTATATAATGAATTCTATATACATCCACATGTGTGTATGTATCACTACATTGTTTTATAACAAAGTCGTCCCGCTGTCTTTCTGTCCATATGTATGCTTAGATCTTAAAAACCACGCAATGGATCTTGACGCGGTTTTTTTTACTAGATAGAGTGATTCAAGAGGAAGATTTATATGTATAATACATTGCACCAGTGTGAAGCCGGGGCGGGTCGGTAGTAAATGTATAGATATTGTGTGTAAATGTATAGATATGTCGAGCGTTTTACTTCTCTCACCTGATCTCGGCTTCTCCATGGTGAGTATGATAGTTGTCCCGTATTTTTTCGCCGCGTTCGATAATATCGAAATAACCAAATAAGTGTTCAGGGGGTCCAAATCCCACGTCGGCTCGTCGAGCAACAAGATTACTGAAAACACGAGGGGCTCGCATGAATTAGCCATTCAAAGTAAAATAAGTCTTATAGTAAAGCAGATAAAACACATATCTACTTGGATCGCGTATAAGCTGGACTCCGATCACCAGTCTTCGATATTCGCTTTTCGATAGAGTCGTTACGCATTTGTGAGCGACCTAAAAAAATATAAATAAAAAACTGTCTATATTTGTTATATGTAGATAGATAGTCGTGACCTAATAATACAATTAAAAGTACCTGCGATAGAGCAAGATCAGCCATTACTTGCTTAACTTTAGACGACTTCAGGTACCCAGAGATCTGTGAGGAACACGTTATGGTAGTAGTATAATATTATAATATACATATAATATTATATAATAGTATAATATTATATTTCAAAGAAAAGAAATGGGTAGTTTAGTGCATCCGCTTATTTTATTCGCTGTATCCGATTAAATTGTTACAAATACGGAATCAGATACTAAAGTATCTCGGAAACTGTACATCAAACGAAATATATAGTCAATTTGGATAAGATAAATAAATTGAAAGACGTGTAACTTGAAAAGCTAGCTTAATAAATAATTCTTATAAACTTTTTATTACCTTAAATTCAATCAGTGTTCTTTATTATTTGTATCGGTCAAAGGTTCACGAAAGACGCGGTTATGAATCACTAATTTATTCATTAGTTATTTATTAAGAGAAACAATCAAAATTAAAAAAAAATCAAAACAAAAAACCGTTTGTAGTTTCCCTCTTTTTAAATAGGTCGAAACAAATTTCTTTTTGAAATACCGTTTGACTTAGGGATCACATCTCTTCACACGTTTAACACGTTTACTAAAAAATAATAAAGCTTGACGTTTCGACACGCAAGAGCTTGTTAGAAGAGAGAGTTCGCACCTTGGTGAGTGAAAGAGATAGCGTTTGCTGTACACTGAGACCAGGCAGGAGTTTCGTGGAGTGTCTGACTAAGGCGCAGGTGTTCCTGAAGTGGTCCTCTTCTAACGGCGCCCCGTCCAGAAGGATGTGACCCTTGCTGGGCACCCGACGGGCGATCACGTCCAGAAGGGCCCGCTTCCCACTACCTGAAGGAGGAAGAACGAAAAGATGAGAAAATTGCCGTGAACAAAAACTTAGATCACCACCATCATTTATTTTATTTATTTTTTATGCGAAATGTTGTCAAACGAGCAGACGGTTCACCTGATGTTAAGTGAATATCACCACCCATGGACATCTTCCACACCCGAAGGTTACAGATGCGTTGACAACCTTTTGATAATTGGGTTCCGGCTACCTCACTCACCAGACGAAACGCGAAAGTATTTGTCGTACTTCCACTTTACGCTGGTTTTCTGTGAGGTCGTGGTACTGACCCGGACGGGCCTGCCCATTCGTGCAACAGCCGAGGCTGCTGCGTGGCCCTACCACCGTTAGATAGCCCTACCACCGTTAGAATCAGTCGTCAAATTACCTTTATTATGAACACCTTACTGAATGGATTACGAATGATGCTCATAAAGCCTTTCTTTTTGAATCCCTGAGTCATCATGTAATTCTGGTCCACTGAAATAGTATTTTACTGGAACGATCTTCTATGGTGAAATGAGCATCATCCTCCTGGTGGGTTTTGACCAGACTTTATCTGTATTCACCTGTCTGACGTCAACCCTCTTTAGGAACATACCTCCAGATCCGGAACACTTATCCGTTCGTCACACAATAATTTTTCCCGTGTGGGAATCGAATCCACGACCGCCGGCGCCCTATTTAACAGCTCAGCAACTGTGTCACCGAGTACTATGCTTATTTTTATTTTCGATTATGGGCACGTGTTAAAGAAAGGGGTGTGCGTCACCGAGCCCTAAGGATATTTTTGTTTTCGATACTGGGCAAATTTTAAAGAATTGGCAGTTGCATTAGCTGTCTTCAGTATTTACCTTTGGAGCCGAGGATGGCAGTGACCTCCCCGCTGTGGGTGAGCATGGACACATCTTTTAAGATGATACCGGTCTTCACCCCTCCCGTGAGCCGTTGGAAGAAGTTGCCAGGTTCCACCTAAGAAAGATGTCAGGAAAAATATTTATAATAGCAATATTGTACCAGGTTCACCGCGCACATATAAAACACGCGTTAGTCTGGGCGTTCGCGACATCGCCGACAAGCTTCAAGAAAGTAGGCTGCGCTGGTTTGGGCATATTAAAAGAAAACCTCCACAATAGATAGGAAATGTAGTGACCCATCTGAACATTCCGGGATCTAGACTTAGAGGGCGACCCAAAGCCAGGTGGAAAGATGTGGTCAGACAAGATCTACGTTCCTGCAACGTTACCGAAGATGACGCGTCGGACAGAGCGAAGTGGAAATATAAGAACAAGAAGGCAGACTCCACCATCAAATGGGAATAATTTTTTATTGCACAGGAGAGAGAGAGAGAGAGAGAGAGAGAGAGAGAGAGAGAGAGAGAGAGAGAGAGAGAGAGAGATAAATACGATTAAAATTGCATCAACTTAATAAATCCTGCATGGTTATACCTTAAAAAGTCTCCATGTCCTATCATCAAAATATCATAATTAAATGAATATTATTACACATAAATATCATACATTTTAATGGTTTATGAGAACTTTGAAAAAGTGAAAAACTTATTAATTTAACCAAGAGTGTAAACAAGTGTACAAGTATATAATTTGAAAAGTGTCTGATCTAAGGAGATATTATTTTTACGGTAGTGTTTCACGATAGCAGTTTGCTATCTTTTTGTTTTATCCCGGAATTCTTAACAAAAGACTTCAACGCGGGCTCTGAAATTTTCCTGTGTATAGTGAAAAATATGAATATATTTTTATTGAATCTATTCTTGAATACAATTCTTTTAAAGTATAGCCAATAAAGAACATATAAGCGTAAAGCGTTGTTACTGCACAAGGCGGCGTACTTTACGATTAAACTACATTTCTACTTTTCCAATTAATGCTATAATATTATTATGATATCTTGTTATATTTAATAGTGGTAAATTTTATTAAAAACGTCTTTACTTAACTATCTTATTTATATGCACACAACATTGCTTTTTTATCTTGTTAAAATAGAAAGTAAATTATATCAAAGCATATTTTTGCAGCAACGGATGTGTATAATCTAACACTTAAATTAATAACAGTTATCATGTAGCTGTAAGTTTAAATCTATCTAAAATTACATATTATCTAATAAACCTAATCCACGCGGCATGGTGCCAAGAACGCTAGCTGCATTTCCTCGCTGAATAGTTATGCTTAACCTTTGCGCGAGAAAAGAACCAGCTCTCTTGTCACCAGCCGCGGCGTTAAGCTGTAAGTTAAACTCACTTGTCCAGAATGGAAAACATTGCACAATTCCAGCGTGTAGTCACTTCCAATCATTCTGTACACTTTCCGTGAACGCGACTGTTATGATATACAATATGAAAATGAAAAACTAATCTACGTTTCGCCTAACACCCGCTATTTGAGATGTCGTTCGCAAACTAACTTAACGTGGTTAACTTCAATATCGTTTATGCGATTGCGACGTTGCCAGCTTTAGTCGCAGCTCACTTCACGCATTAACGTGCACTTGACTTTAATAAAGTAAAAGATAGAAAGCTATTTTTAACTTAAAAGCTTTGTAATACAGCCCTTTTTACAACGTGCGATTGTGTGTTGCTTAATTAAGGGGAAGTTTAAAGCCTATTTAATATAAATTAAATAAAAAACAGGACAAGGATGTGTGAAAATGCAAAAAAAAAATTTTGCTCTGCACTTACGAATCCTCTAGCTGCTGCTGATTTAAAACTTAAGTAGGTTTGTGTATCATTAATAAACAGAGATAATCAAACCGCAGAGTTACTCGCCGGTTCTTCTCTGGTCAGGTAGTAAACAGGTGTTAGGGTTTTTTGACGGTCAATGGGAGTTTAAATTAAGCCTATATTGAATAAAGAAGATTTGGCTTTGACTTTGATTACAATAACATGCATTTGGTTTTATGGAAGTAACAGAATTAAACATTAAATTAAATCCTTTTAACTTTTTGCTATGATGTGTCATATTTTAAAGGACGAATAAGGTATTACGAATTAGCTTATTAGCTCTTTAATACAATTTTACATATTCAGCTTTAAGCTTGAACTTCAGACTTAATATTAGATTTTAATAATTATTAGATTTTAATTCAATGTATTCGAACAATAGCGATGTAGGAAAACATTGTGCGGAAACGACCATATTTTCGAAATAATAACAAAAATAAATAATTCAAATATTTGTGAAGTCTGCCAATGCGCAGTTGGGTCGTGTGGTGGACTATGCCCTGATACCTCTGTACAGAGGAGGCCTTTGCCCAGCCAGCTTGTTAGTTTATTTTTTTTTTAAGAAAAAGGAGGCAAACGGCAAGCGGGTCATCTGATGGTAAGCGATCACCGTTGCCAATGGACATTTGCAACATCCGTTGAGTCGCAATTCCGTTGCCGGCCTTTAAGGTAGGAGGTTCTTCTTGAAGGTTCCTATGTCGTATCGGTCCAGAAATACCGCTGGCGACAACTCGTTTCACAAAGAAGTTGTGTGGGGCAGAAAATTGCGTGAAAAACGCACAGTAGTGTTCCACCAACCATCAAGGTGGTGTCGATGGTAATTGGCGGTTAGACGAGTTTTATTTAATGTTTTGTTTTACTTGTTTTTGGAATTCTACATCACAGAAATTAAACTTAGACTTATGCAGATGCTACTTACAATACACGAATGTATCAAAAAGCGGTAAACCGTAGGCGATGACTCGGTGGCGCAGTTGCTAAGCCATTGGTTTCAGCATCAGGGGTCGTGGGCTCGATTCCAACACGGGAGGAGTATTTGTGTGACCCAAAGAAAATTGTTCCGGATCTGGACGTTTGTTTAACAAGGAGGATTGGCGTCTGGCAGGTGGCAGTCGTAAAAATATAGCCAAAACCGATTACAACATGATTCGCATGTTATGTGCCCACCTATGTGGGATAAGGGCATAGACAATGATGATTTAAAAGCCGTTTAAAATTACATGAAGTTTTAATATTCTGTTCATGTATCATTAATATTTCTCTTGCGTTCATAATCTTACTGATCCTACTGACTATCTGCTATTTAGTAAATTTATATGTCACTGAAGCTTGCCCTTAACGCAAAGCCTCATTTATACATGTGTATTTCCTACGCATCGTTGCCGCACATACTCACCGTGAACCTTAAAAGGCTGACACGCCATCTCTCTCCCTTTCTCGTGCGTTATAAAACCTCATTTAATTGCGAGACGCCATGATATTGCGTATGCGCATATGCTAGTGAATTCCGACGTCTCTCCATCTCTTTCCCACCAACCGAAACGGATCTCTGAAGCGGGACAGAGATACGTGCAGTGTCACTGACTGTTTAGTGTTTAGTTTGTCCGAGTGCGGTCGCGGTATAGGCCTGTACTTCGGTTCGAGAATAGAGGCCGGGCTTGTTACGAACGAAATTATCCGTATTTAATTTGAAACTTAAATGAAATTGACGAACACTTGACCGGTCCAAATTGTTAGCGGTGATTGGAGATTTTCCCAATCGTTTATGTGATAGTGCTTTGTGGGTGCAGTGATTCTGTTAGCGGGGAGTCCCGTTGTTCGGTGTTTTATCAGGTAAGTTCGCCATGCATCGTTTTGTGGTGTTTGTGTAGGTTTTATAGGCATTAGTTGAGCGTGTGTGAGTGGGACTTTTAGTATTCATGTGACATATATTCCTAAAAATAATACATTATACAGTTGGTTATGGGTAAGTCAAAACAAATCGATCTTAATTTTATTTCTCAGCGATGATAAGTGTAACGGAACCAGTCATCGGTCAAAATATCATTCGTTTTAAATTATTTGTACTTACTTATGTCTAACATAGTTCACTAAAGATTGCAATACTAAAGGCCCATTTACACGATGCCATTTTCTTGTACATACAAGAGCAATAATTGAATGCAATAAATTGCGCGCAATAATTTGTTAGACCATTTGTTGTTTAGACCATAAACTCATTTATTGATCAATTTAATTTCACGAAGTATCCATGACTAAGCTAAGTTTTTACCTAATTCTTGTTATTTCACTTATTGGTTTCAGTTAGTAAGTAAATAACTTTGATATTAATTGTTATTTTTAATACCCCTTTGTTACCTGCAAAGTGTTCGTGTCAAGAAACCACTTGAAAGCTGTGTGCAGTGTCGCTGTTTGATGATGGCACATCAAACAACGTGCTCTCGACGTGAATATCCCAAGGGATAGAAAGGGATAGCCATATTAATCCCCAATTCTCACACGTAGCCACAAATTCCTCTGATCGATTGCCGTATACCCACGAATTTAAACTCGCACTCTCTAATTTTAAGTCGACATCTCAACCACTAGGTTGCTACAGAACAAAAAGACCGGCACGTTTGCGACTTAAGAATTTTGAATTCCTTTTTTCTATGTTTTAAAAGCACTGCTTAGGCCATTTAGGAATAGTGTATTCGATTCGATAATAATTATGATGATCCCAGTTTGATACTTAATCGCAAATTAATAAAATACAGAAAAATAATAGTCGTAGATAACATTAGTAGTATTAGTCTATGAATAGAATTATTCTTAATGGAAATTATTTGTCTCAAACATTTGGTACCATGGAACCTTTTTTATTCATTTATGAACAAACCATATCAAAGTAGTATTGACCGTGCAAACTATAGTATTGGTTAGTACGGCGCCACTGACGGTTTTTCATTGTAGAACTCTGCAAAATGAAACGAAATCCCAGAATGGAAATGTTCGATGTCTCGCTTTGTTTTCTAAATATCAATTTTTGTTTCGTCGTCAGGATTCCAATGTGATTACTCGTTGAATAAGTTACCCGAGGGTAGTTTAACTGAATGTGAAAGGTGTGAAAATAAGCTTTTTGCTAGCAAATGTTGAATTAGTTAATACATTCGAACTAGGCCTTAGTGACTCTCGGGGATCCCTGTACGTAAAAAAGTGGACTAAACGATAATTCTAATGTATCGGTTTCAGATAAATAAATGTCGAACCTTATTTATCCCATTTTACGACGATCAAATATAATCGTTAATGGAACTAGCTACAATTTTTTACAAGTTTAAAATGGTTTTGAAAAACATCGATATCACGAAGACGAAGTGGGTTGTCGATAAATTTTATTCTTAGTTATAGTCTTATTTCGTTTGAAAATGTATGCTTAATTAGGTTTTGTGGTATTTTAGTGATAAAAATTGGCTCACAAGTCTTGAACCCTTCACATTAAATTTACAAACTAAAGATAAAAGTGTCCGAAATGGGTTATAAATATTCCCCCAGCTTTTAAAGTAATCTGTACTGCTCTGCAAATTTAATCCCATTTGAAACCTCGGAGTTTATAAAAAATCATAAAAATACTCAGGACTGATAAGATATCGAATAACGACCATATGAATTTTAGACTTAGCAGGCAGAGTCGTAGACACTTTTTATCAACTAATATACATTTCGTAGGCAAACCACTATAGTTAATGACAACAAACTATACTATAGCAACAAACAAAAAACTATAGTTAATGTCAAATATATCAGCTATTTATTTCAATTTCTATTTATTACGATTTAAAATAACTGTTGATTTGTTTATTGCATAGGAGTCTAAGAGTTCACTCACATTCTACAGCTTTTTTGCCAGTCTGCTTTAATTCTGTGGTTGGGATTTAGGTCCTATAAAAAAGCTAAAACAATGGCACAAGTTAACGAACTCAATCGATGAGTCAGCCTTAATAGAACACAGAAACTTACCGTATCTGTGCTTTATCAAGGAAATTTAAATTCTTTTTTTTACTTTTATTACTCTCAATTCCATGTTCGAAAACTAAAAATGAAATTTTTTTTTTATAGTTTTAACAGACATTTTTACATCAGTCAGTACCGCGGGTCATTTACTGTGGTAGGGCCAAATGGACAAGATTTTACAGTTTCCTCCAAATACTTCCAGTTCATACCGGTCAGAAGACAGTCTGTTGCATTGCTTCTGGTTAGTGAGGTGACCCTGTTTGAAGTTGGTAACGCAACGATGTATATTATATTGTATTAACTGATGTTTGTGCTTTCAGTCCCGAGACTATTAAAGCTTCATCTGACGCAGAAACATTGGGCTAGCCAGTACCCACGGGTTTGGGCCCTCCGCTAAGGGTATGTCATCTAAGGGCCGTCGAGGTTGCGCTGCGGACCGAGACCCCGTTGGCCGTCGACTGTGCTAATCGGTTTTTAGCTAATCGGTGGCTGGGGGCGTTGAGAACCGCCCTGGAACGCGGGTGTACCTTGTGTACGCGTTGTGTTGGTCTCACCATGCTCGGAGTCGAGCGCTGTTGTGTT